TGCGACCTACTACAACACGGACCGATCCCTATCGATCGGGATCATGATTTTTAACAGGTCCTCCCGACAATTCCGAAAATATTCACGATATTGTCACACCTGCTTCTGACAAATCAATACGTTGAGGTTAGGTGACTGCTTTATCGATTGTCTCTTACAATCGACTTTTTATACTCGCTATGTCTCGACGAAAGAGTCGATATGAAGAGAAATTGACGGTGGGGGAAGGCGTCTGTCATTTGACTGCTGGACTCTATAAATGGAACTCTGATAGCCTTTAAGAGGTAGACAATGCTTTGTTGTTGCTAAATAAACGACATTCTGCACACGTGCGGCATGTCGGTCCTGTACCAGCTCTGAACATAGGATATACAGGGATCAGTCCTATAAATACAAACGATGAATTAATAGGAAAAGAATTCGTTTGACAGAACAATTACGAGTATCTTAATGAAGCACACGGATACATTTCTAGTTATTCTATTTGTATAAAATATTTATTATTCTCCGTCTTTTCCAAGAAGTCTCCATCAGCGGAAATACGTTTTATTAAATACTGCCTACGTCCTGATCCCACGTGTTTTATATGATGTCCCAGGGGTCGGAATTTTTTTTTTTAAACTATATTCAAACGAAGTGTTACAAGTTGTCTGAATGGAAATAAGACACGTACAATTTTTATAATTTTATGAGGAAGTACACGTTATGTGAATTATTTCAGAGCAAATATGTGGACACAAGGAACATATCAACCATGTTAGCCAGGCTGACACTTTAATAAAATAAAAATAAGTCATACTTTCACCAGAACACTAGAACTGATGAGATAAAAGGTATCTTTACCAACTGTAGCTTGCGAGTCGCTGTCTGCCACCTAATGATAATTATAACGAGCTGCATTTCACACGGAGAACGCATAATAACCTAACAACATTCACGGAATTTCATAATTTTAAGTTTTCACGATTTTAAATGTTCTAAATGTCCCGCAACTTAATTTTTTTAAAATAATCTTAAAATTTACATATTTTATTAATTTTCAAAACCTGTGAACACCTACTTATAACTGTAAAATTTCAATCAAAAATTGAAAAGTCACACTCCGCCACTGGTGAACACAGTTCGGCAATCCTGAATGATTTCACAACCCCACTTTCCTCGTAACTCGTAATTAAATTCTATACACGACAGTGAATTACGTAATCTTTCCGCCCCACAACGTAAAATTACACGTGGCTGGAACGTGGCTTTCCTTACAGATTTATCGAGGTTTACCTCACAATCTCCTCGTGTAAATCAAGGCAGTTTCTATACATTATTTAACATTCATAATCATCTCACTCCACGGCGCCATGTCTGTGGCGAGCTGTTCGTGGTTAATCTCTCCCCTATTTAATTACAAACAAAAATTGAACCCCCTTCATAAAAATATACAAGATTTTCGTGATAATTTATGTACTCATCGACAATCACAACATGGCGGCCTTAATAATATTCCGAGGAGGGTACGAAACCAGCGTCATTTAATTCAACATTTTGGAATTTTAACTTCGAACCAACTTAAAAAATTTAAAAACGTTTAATATACAGCTTATTATTTCAGGGCATCGGACGAAAATATATCCTTAGCGCAATGACGTAAAAGTAAGGAACTGAACCTAATTGTGGCCACGCTGTTTCGAAACACGTTGTTCAAGTGAAAATTACGAGCAGAAATACCAAGAATTTACGTTTTGATGGCCCAAAGGTATTTGGAAACTTAGCAATTCAAATATCTAATAGTTTTTAAAATATTTTAAATTGATAAAAAAACCTGAAGACGACGGTATTACCCGTCGAAACATGTCGTTTTAATAAAAGCGCTAAAAAAATATAATGTAAAATCGTATTTACGATTAAGAGCGCTAATATAATATTTTACACAACAAAATGTTTTAATATTATATAATTTTTTACAACACCAATAAACTTCAAACATTTGTGTATAGACTGTACAAAATAAATATATTAGAAATTATTGTAAGGGTAAACTGAAGATGGAAAATAACATAATTCCACCATCAGAAAAGAAACTTTTATAAACTAGTTCAATGGACACTCCGTATATTCAACTGATAAGAATCACATAGAACAGGGGTTCTCACCCTTTTTTCTAATTAAATGTACCACTAACCAAATGCGTCCAAGGAAATCTTATTTTTGTTAATAGACGGTACAGTATCCGAGAACAGACTGCGCGTTTGGTCTACGCCACTGCTTGGGGATTGAAGGAAAACAGACGTATATACAGGGTGAGCACAAAAGATCTTTGTCCTTTCTGAATGAAATAGAAAAGAACTGCGTCATACTTGCAACTTCACACCCACACCAGTCGATAGAAAAACTCTCAAAGTTTTGTACACACCTCACAGAGACTCGATATGTGTCGATATATATCGATAAGTTAATCAAACTCGTTCCAGACTTTGTGCGGTGACAGAAGCTGTGCCCTCAACTCTGACAAAGATTGTGCGGAGGGAAAATGGATTCTCGGCTGGGTGGATCCATGTGAAATTGTTTTCGAAATGAACTTTGCACACACACGCTTTCTTCGCTAACTGCACAACACAGCAGCTCCTCTGTTCTGGGGTGGCCATTTTGAAAACCAGTGGCATCTAGCGGAGGCGCGCAACATCAACCATCACCCGGGTCATACATTCCATTTTTTTATCGAATCGCGTATGTGTGAAGTTCTAAGTTCTGCCGCATATTTTCTTTGTCACTCTGAAGTGTAAAATTCTTTTCTGCCGACTCTGTATTTCGGAGAATGCCGACAATTGAACTGTGGCTGAGAAATGTTTATATAAGGAGATCGAAAAGTCACGCAACCCATATTAAAATGTTTACTGATGGTTTAAATTCAGCACAATTCGACTGCATTAATAAACACGCAACACTTCTGTACTTATATACAAGAGAACACTTAGGTTATGTCGTAATCTGTTCGCGCCTGATCGTCAGCTGTCTTTAGGTGAGTTAGGGACATGTTTATCGATTCTCGTTCGATATATCGTCTCGTTGGTTTTCGTGACGCATGAACCGTGAAGGACTGCAACATTTCCGGTCGAGTTTCGATGTCAATTAGCGATAGTTTGGACAATATCCGTCTAACTCTATCACTCTCGTCACGACTGTCACAAGAAAAAAAAACCCGCTTCAGGGTGAATTATCGTACGGAAGTTTACACGAGGCCGGAAACAAAGATTTTGAAACTTCGTCCTCGAAGTCCACGTGTCATTAATGAATTCGAGGAACCTGACGTGGAAAACGACTTAAGTACTGCAAATGGAGTACACACGTCATTCGAGGAGGTGGGGAAATTTCTGATAAACTTTTCTGTAGTGATGAAGCGTGGTTACATCTAAGTGGACACATTAATAACAAGAAAAACAGGAAACCGGGCGATGTAATTACACGTATTTCCCATTAATGACCGTCACATTCCTTGGAAATCAGAGGAGTGCGGTGTGATGATTCTAGACGGATGATAGATATCGTATAATTGGACCACCCATTTTCTTCATTAAGATGACAGCAGCTGAACGTTACCGGGGATTAATTACAAATTTCATTTCGCTTTTATACGATGACGAACAACATTAATGTTTTCAGCAAGATGGCGTTATGGCGAACCGAGAAAATTTAACAATGCATACATTAATATTTGTTTAATATTCTCAGTCTAATCACAATAAAATTCCTATTAAATATTAAAATATAATGCATACATTAAGTAAGTTCTTTGGTTAAAATTATTCATTAAAATTCACGACGTTTCGGAGGCTGGTTCTGCCTCCATCTTCAGGTGAGAGGTACCTACTCTGTTGGGTGCCTTAGACAGAGCTAATCTCTGTAATCTACCGTCGTCAAAACCCTTTAGAATTGAAGTTCTTTTGTGATTCGATCAGACACGAGGAAAAGAGTGAAGTTTGAATGCACACGCAGATAACTGCAATAGGCAGAAACAACACTTTACGTAACTTTTTTTTTATTTTATGATTTCAAAGTAACTTGTTTCTTCACAAACAGAACACGTGTCTCCAAAGGATTGCGCTACCTTTCGATCACCTTGCATTTTATTTGTAACGCTCGTGGAACACGCACATTTTCAGCGAATACTCCACGAGTACTCTGAGATGAACGACAATACATCGAGATCTTCAAACAGCAAAGTCCAAAATGTCATAGATAAAGCAAGGCTGATCGCTCCTAATTTGTCCAATGAGACAGTTTCTCTCCTGACCGTGATTGTTCGCTGTTTCATACAAATAATGACGTACTTCCTGTTTGTGGTTTAATTTTTGTAATAGAGGTACTTCGATTATGTCCATGTTACCACCTCGATATACAATAATAAATTCTCTATAATTCTACAAAAAAAAAATATATATACAGAGTTATTCATAATTCCCTGACACATTACAAAAATCGCTAGACTTGAATGGTGTAATGGATGGTAACATGGGACATGCCGATAGAAAGAGAAACTCTCCAAGTTTGTTTTACATATCTCATGAATGCTCTATATGACCATGGCTGCTTCGTTGGCCACCCCGATCACCTGACCTGACGCCATATCATTTCTTCTTATGGGGGTATATTAAGAACCAGGTCTTTGTATCGCCTCTGCCACGGGATCTGCATGAATTGCGAAGAAAAATCATCGCTGCCATCTCACAAATCGATTATGGGCTTGAAGTCTGCCGCGTCACAAAGGGTGGACACGCAGAGCATTTATGAGGTATGTAAAACAAACTTGGAGAGTTTCTCTTTCTATCGGCATGTCCTAAGTTACCATCCATTGCGCCATTCAAGTCTAGCGAATTTTTGTAATGTTTCTGGGAATTATGAATAACCCTGTATATAGGTTATATAAAATCTTGGGTCCATGTAAAATAATAGGGTAAAACATTTTAGATCAAATTATAACTACATTTGAAGGATCCATACGTCAAGGACGTGACTTTCGGTTCGGTTGGAATCGAACACATGTTTGTGCTTTAATTGTTACGAAGATAAGACAACTGGCATTTCAAGGCTGCTGGCGGATGTCATTTCTCGTTTGCATCAAGGTCCTCCGGGTGACAGTGCGACCTGATCTCCTTTTTTAATTACATATTTCGCCTTACACTTGCAATTTTATCAGAGGCCGACAATAATGAATAAACTTAGAAAGTTTTTGATAAAAGCCTGTGGATAGTAAACTCCGATTCTCTTATGTTGTTGGCGTAGATTGATTTCGTACTGATAGGTCACATTATCACTCCTTCCCTTAATGTATGTAGGTATTATAATTGGCTCATACGTACTTTCCAAATCATTCAAATTATACCTGAAATCACCAAAAATATCTTACGTGTATTATTTATTATTTTTATGGGGCCTCGACAATTAATCTGGCCCGCGGACCAGCTGTTCCCTCAGCCACGAAGAAACTGAGAAATGGATAAAGAATATGAATGACATTTGTATCAAGACGTAACGAGGGTGAAATTTCCAAAACTGTTTCAAAAGAATGCGCAAATACGTCGGTAAAGACGTAATATTTCCCCAGGAGTATTGCGTCAATCACCCGTCATTTGTCTTCGGGTAACTTCGGCTGTCATCGGGAATGGCGAATGTAGCCGAGAGGCAAACGCTCTCACAGTGAATGACTCAACTCGTCCAGCCTTACACCTGACGTGAACGTGACCTTCAGTCCGAACGCATTTCGTTTGAAATCGCGTTTAGCCACATTTCTAAAGAAGAACATGACATTACATTTATCTTAATGCGATGGCAATGGAACAGCGTTAGAGAAAATGGCGAATTCACCCAAAATAAAGGACGTGAATGACACAATATCGATTTAGAGGAAGATATTAATCGATATGGTAGAGCGTGGTCCGATTGCTATCGACCGAACGACATCCGATCGAGTTGGTCGATAACTAAAGCCAGGAGCCTGACTGATTCTGAAATTACACGCATCAACTGCATGAGTCATTCATCGCCGAATACACAGCAAATGCGAAGAATTGGTTAAAGAAGTCTCGTTTCGAATCTCGACGGCGCTAAATCGACTCTTGCGCGAGACCGAGAACTACAACGAGGAATCTCAGTTTTAACAAGATGGCTGTCTTCTGGGTTGTTTTGCCGTGCAGTGTGGCAGACGTTTACCGACGTTTCAGAGATGCTTACTACCAACATCGCCCTCATGATGGAAGCAACAATTATCTGCGAAACGTCGGCGTAAGGCCGAACGTCGTGGTCGAGTGGTTAATACTCCTGATTCGTATTCGGGAGGTCCCGTGATCATATCTCGGCTCTTAGACCGGCTATCCTGGGTGGGATTTCTTGTGGTTTTCCTCAGTCCCCCCCAGGAAAGTGCCCGGATAGTACCTTAAAGGTGAAAGGTCAGAAGGGATGAGAAATCTCGTGCTCGACCCGAATGAAAGAAACCTGAGGACGACCGGTTTCGCCACCGAGATTCGAGCCGGCTTTCCTCCTGGGCGCGGGCAACAACGGGCAATGCGTACCTGAGCTCATGAAGTAGGGTATCCGGAACCTGCCAGAGAGGACCCTGTCCCTGAGAGACTGGAGAGTCGATCCATCGAACGGCAGAGCTCCGCACACCAGCACGTACAGGACAACGCCGAGACTCTGCGGCAACACCAAGCAAAGTCACGTGATTACACGAAGAACACAACAAATCTTACGTAAAACAAGACAGTTACTGGAGGGGACGTTTAAAAATATACCCCTGAAAAATAAGTTTAAAAAAATATTTGCGAAGGATCGATTTGTTATCGAACTGTCAAATGGCCACCCACGTCACCAGACTTCAATCTCGATAAGTTCTAAGAAGGGAACTTCTGTGTGTCTTGGAGAAATTAACACGAAAATTTTACTCACACCGAGAACTTTTCGTGCTACGATTAGTTGTAAGGCCAATGCATTAAAAGTAATTAAATAAATTAAAATCACTCAACCACCCGCACGCCATCTACGTAATTCTGGCCAACCAACTCCATCTAGTGCCAAGGCTGAGAATTAATAGGAGTTATAATCCCTCTAATCCCAATCGCCTACATGGTCCGTAACGGGACGGCTTAAATTACGTTCACCTACGTTATTATATTTAATTTTTGTTAGTGAAAATGCCCGTTGAAATTCGACATTAAACAATTATTTATTTCTACGTAACAAATAAACAACGAAACGTAAATACAAATGTGAGGAATTCGTAAAGAGATTTGTCGAAGGCCTCACACGTGTAAATTTACATTACATGATTACATTTTACATGGAACTTGTAAGTCGGCTTCATCAGGGTCATGCTATGACGCATATAAAAATACAGATGTCGTCATCCAATGGCAGTTCTCGGACAGCTTCGGAGTGCTCACCGGAAAAGTAGGTTTTACAGTCATTTGTTTCAACGTAAATTCACTTAGAGTTACGGAATGCGTAATGATTTTCAATTTGATTGAGATAAATGCTATTTGGTTGCATGGAACAAATAATGTCGCTCGCGACACCTTCCTTACGTTAAGTAAACGACTTTAAACACGCGCGAACATTTTGCTATTATCGATATCAGCGAGATCACGTGACTGCCCGAGATGATAGTAGAAATATACACGAAGTTACTAACCACAAGACAGCCAACTTCAAAAAAACAAAAAGGAAAGAAAGAGTATATTTTGGAAAAACACATCGAAATCATATGCACATGAACTTAGCAAGGTTTGAGCAAGGGACTCACCCAGACGTCGATCTCAGGCCCCGTGTACTTCTTTCCCTCGAAGACCTCTGGCGCGGCGTAAGGCGGGGACCCGCACCACGTGGCCAGCTGCTCGCCCGGCGTGTAGTAGTTGCTGAACCCGAAGTCTGCGATCTTGATGTTCATGTGTCCGTCCATCAGCAGGTTCTCAGCCTGCAACCCAACCCCCCCTCATCGCATCAGCATCCGTCGTGAACGAGGCTCCGGCAACCGAGTCATGTGCACGAAACGTCACTATTAACAAGCCTCAAAGCGACGTCCTATTAAATTACTTAAGTACAGAATGCCCAGTCACAAACTTCGGGGTTTTATTCGCCAATAAACAAACATCGTAGCATTCGGCTCAGAAACAAGGCTCATCTAAAAGGCGAAAATAAAATATTCTCGGGCCACCATCCGCCAACTACGTTTTTTCCCTTTATGGGGAGAAGCTCCGACTGCCTCCGAAAGTGTAGATTCAAACATGACGGTAGGTGGACAGGGGCCTCAGCGTTGGGGGGGAGGGGGTTTCTTATAACAGCCTATGTTTTTATACCGTGTATTAGAAAGGCTGAGCACCTCCACCAACGGATTCTTCCTCTTCAAGGTCAAGTCAATTCTCCGCTCGCACGGAGTATACGTGTTTTGTTTCGTTCAGCTCACAAGCTAGTGACATGGGAAAATGGTACAGTTTGCTGTCAGTTACTATACAACACATTACAGTTATCATATTAATGCTGCGAAAATTTGTCCCTTAACAGTCTTTGAGTTTCAAAAATGGCCTCCCTTCTCCTTTTAAGGTAAACAGCGGAAAAAGACACCAGCCTCATTTACGTTTCGGTCAATTCAGTAAGGGCAAATGACAACTGATCTGAAAATTCGTCTAAAATCATTCAGAGCCACGAGTTGATGGTCCGTCTGACGTCACACAACACTACTTTATTTAGCAGTGACCGATTCACCGTGAGAAAATGCTCCTGTTTGCTGCAAGGTTGGTGGTCCTGGCAGGTAGCGAGCGCACTGTTCCGAGTAATCGATTTTCCGATTTTAAGAAACGTGGCGTGTCTTGTCACACACACAAAAAAACCGCAGTTAACAGGCAAGCATCCTTGACAAACCACCACGGGACTCTGAACGATTGGTCCATGTAGGCTTTAATGTTATTCGCTTCGCTCGTACACGTCACAGATGACGCACCTGGTCAACTATCGATCTATCGATTTTAAACAAGTCTGTCTTTTCGATCTATCGATTTAAAACAAGTCTGTCTTTTCGTCAATGCGATAACTGTTACGTAACTCGACTGGTACAGACCATGAATCTGTGCAAATGTTTGACGACATTTATAATTCGATCAACACGAACAAGTGATATGTAAAAATCATCTTTTGGATTTCGCCCACACGTCGAAATTATTGCAGTTTTATTAGTGACACTATGGACAAATGAAAATTACATCACAATACTTTGGACGATACAGAAAATGAATTTTACTGTAAGTAATATTATATTTTAATGCGTTTCACAAACAGGGCGTCGTCTTACAGCCCGGGGGCGGGGGAGGGGGGGTTATTTGAAGGTAATTTCGAATAAACAATGCAACGAACTTTTTACGGAGTGAAAACAATCGATTGTGTGTGCATTTGAAAGTCGATATCAGCGAATGTTTAATCCGAAATTGTTGAATACCAGCTAAGTGAGGTTAGTTGTTCTCCAAATCACACGACATCGAAACAACATTTAACTGCCGATACTTAAATGAACTGCCGATTTTAACGCAAGACATGACGTGGCCGTGAAGTTACTTGTTATCAGCGGCACGAAAGTCGCTGGTTACGTAACTGCGGTCCAGTAGTGTTGCAAAACGTCCAGACCTAAACCCCGTTTTAGTTCTTTCTTTTCCCGTGGCTCTGTAGTCGTTGGAGAACACAGGTCGCGTCAAGTAGCCGACGTACACTTGGCAGGACACACCCGTTCGTGAAGGTTTAAACCAACGAATTGCTAGTGTGAAGCACTACGTGGTTGGTTGACGTCGTACAACAACGAACTACTCTTCACCTGCCCTTCCAGGGCGAATTTTCGTCGTCCTCAAATTTTCCACCACAAAAACCTAACCTAACCTTCGACTCAAGTACCTGGAAATCACTGTAAATTTGGACCGAACGATTTTCAGAAGACAGAAACTTTGTACAATTACGCGAAAATTTCATATTTTCTGTGATTTTTGCAAAATATATTATATAAAAAAAATGGAGCCCAATATTTAAACACGTTCCTTAATAATATTAGGCAGCCGATGCAAACTGAATCTGTAATTCTTCTTTTATTTTTAATCGTCCACGACTTACATTCTGAAGGTTCGCAAACCAAGAGAATTTATAAAAACCTCTATATAACACGTGGATGTGATGGCGTCGTTAAATACGGTACAGCGAATTTAAACTGCTCATGTACGGAAGAAAATCGATTAATAGCGCATGGAATAAATAAACCCCTCCACCTGCTGGATGTTCCGTCGGAAACGCATAGATCATCGACCCACATAACCTATCTGAGCACAGAGCGAGCATTTCCTCCTGTGCACTCAACAAACACTTTCTTGGGCTGTAAGAAGAAGGCATATGTACAGTCTGTCAAGAAAGCCATAGTACCTTTCTACAGTGCACGCAAAATAACTTCGAGCTTCAGCTACGTCACAGAAAGATATTAAGATGGCGGCGGTCGGGAGTCTGTCTGCGCATGTCTGACGTAACAAAAAAACATTTATCCCTTTTTAATTCCGACACGATCGCTGCCATTTTCGTACACTGACTTTTGTGAACCAAAAGAATTATTAAACACGAGAAATGCCCTAACCCTCCTCACGAGCTATTTCTACAGCTTAAACGAAATAATTTCACATCCGATTGTTTAAGGCAGCGCTGGGTTATCTCTCAGTCCGTTTTGTGCTGTACTTCGCGATCTGCCCCTCCCCTCCCTCCCTCCTTCCCCCTCCACTGCCACGCGCTTATTTGTGGCGAACAACTGAACTACTCACGGCGCTGCAACCCAGAAGACAGCCATCTTCAGACTCCGAGTTATTTCGCGTACAATGCACTTCATACACTTTCTTGCTCGGACTGTACCCAAATCAAATCTTATCAGCTAATGTCACGTGACAAGAAGAGAAACCGCCGCAAGCCTTCCCAGACATGTTATAACAATCGTTTGACCTTTGCTGTGAGCTGCTGTTTCTGTTACATTATCACGATGACGTCAGTAGAACGTTGAGTGTTGTCAAATCCTAGTTTATGACGTCAGCGACCATTTTAGTACGATAATGTTTCGTTTCTTTCACTTAAACAGACACCCCCTGGGGCTTCGACGTAATTTCCTGGCGTCGTGTTAACAATGGAGAAATAATTTTAATGGCCAATATCCAAATCTGTCATAGCCTACATCAGTGGCGGATACTGAGCAGTGACGTTACGACCCAGAATCTATCTTGCTTACATTTTACCATCCACTGTGCATAATTTTCGACGTGGTAATCTTACGTTCCATTTATCAACACAAGTTTCACATCGCAGCGTCGCCATATTTAAAACAGTTAACATATAAAAATTGACAATTCATCTGTTTGGTGAGATTTGAGGATCTCACGGTGGTGAGTAACCTGAAGCGGTCTTACAACCGTGTGTAGGATTCCCCGTTTAAGCGCTATACTTACGCAAAGTTGGGGAATCCCGAGATGACTTATACAACCACAAAGGCTCATAAAAATATAAATGGTATGAGAAACTCTGACGTCACTGCTGGCTTTCGGACATTAACAAATCGAAAACATTGACGCAACAACACGCGCTCGTTTCCTCAGCTGTTCAGTGACCACTGCTCAGTATTCAAACAGTGACATCTGTTGCCAAAGTCGTGGCACCTCGCGGTGCCTACGTCACGTGACTGGCGATACCTTCAGGTCCCTGTGCACCACGCGACGATTATGGCAGTACTCCACGGCGGACAGGATCTGCCAAAACTTCCGACGAGCAGCCCCCTCCGTCATTCGTCCGTACCTTGCGATGTAGTCTGAAAATTCCATAACAAGAATCACATCAACACATCACGCTAACGATATCAACAGGACTACGTCAATCATGGGTTAGAAATCAAGAATGAACAGCAATGTAAGTTTATAACCCAACAACGCAATGCAATTTACTTCAAGGGTTGGTACGCTCGACTGGTGCACAGATGGCAGCAAGATCGAATCGTAGTCGAACTACAATTTGACACTGCCTACGATTGCAAAAATATCACACATCGTAATTATTATTAAGTGGAGAATTAGATGTGCTGGCACCTTAAAAGCAAAGCTGAATTTCTGTGCTACTGTAACTGATAAACACGTTCTTTTATCTCTCTCTCTCTCTTTTTTTTTTGCGAAGAATACGTAAACAGGGATACCAACCTCGAAGTTCAAAACACACTACGGTCATAAAAAAGAAGACAGTCTAATGATGGAATTAGCATTAACTAACAATGGAACATTGAAATTTCGTATTTTATTGAAAATCAATCAAGAACTTTGAAATTATATGATCAAATAATATACACAGGACTTAATTTGCGGTATATTTACCTTATAAGTAATTTGTAGGATTTTTGAGGTTTTCACAAGCGATGAGCTTCAAGATGGCTGCCTTCCACAAATAATTAAATGACCACATAAGTGACGGACTGGCGTGAACATGTTAGAACATTGACGTGACTTTCGTGCAAATCACAGGGGATGTTCTGTTTATTAATCGAACGGGATTCCAATCGTCAACAAACACGTTAATGTGCACTGTGTGACTTTTCGATCTCTGAGCGGGACATTCATAAGCGTTCCTCCACTCACCGAATATCTCGCCCTGACTGGCGTACTCCGACACAATGTAGATCATGTTCTTCGTCTCCATCACCTGCAAAAATTCGCATTGAACAGTTCGGAGAACGAGAAATGAGAGGGGCGGAGGGGAACATGTTCCTTTTCTTTGGGGACAAACAATTTTTTTGGGGTTTCCAAATAAATAACACGTCGACACTGCGCATCACCCAAATTTTATAAGGCATACCTCAGAGATATTGCGGGTTCGGTTCCAGACCACCGCAATAAAACGAGTCACACAATTTTTTTTGTTTCCCAGTGGACATAAAAGTTATGTTTACACTATACTATAGTCTATTAAGTGTGTAATAGCATTATTTCTAAAAAAACAATGCGAGAATTACCAAAATGTGACACAGAGACACGAAGTGAGCACATGCTTTTGGAAAAATGGCGCCGATAGACTTGCTCGACGCAGGGTTGCCACAACGCTTCAATTTGAAAATAAAAACGCAATATCTGAGAGGTATGTCTGTAGTTGGTCTAGCTGTTATAACGCTGGCCTTGTAATCCTGGGGGGTCTCGGGTTCGATTCCCGGCGGTGCCCGAATTTATAACTTGTGTTGGGCAAGGCCGTGGTCTAGGCAACACGGAGTTTTCCTCCGTGGCATCCCAAAAGTTACTCCATTCACACACAGAAGAAGGCAATGGCAAACCACTTCTGGATCATCTGCCAAGAACGTATATGAACAGGTCCCAGTCCGAGAAAAGGATGGAAGGATCCTGTTCATATGGACCTGTCGTCAGTTAAGTTTTTGAGCTCTTGGGGGGTTATCTACCCGCTGGATGAACCCTCTGAAGGAGACAGGCACTACATTTAACTCGGGGTGTAACATTAATTTAAATCTACGGTTACGAATGCCCCCAGACAGTGCCCGCTCGTCCTTGTCAAAGTAATACGTAACAAAGAAAACACAACTGTTCACCATTTTAAAGTTCAAGTGGTTGACGTTATTTAAGGAATTCTCAGGCACTAAGGACCTTATGGCTTATTCGTTTTATTACATATAATTTTTCCTCTCTAGACAGCCTTGTTGTTTTATATAATGTTTTAATTAGGTCAATGCTTGAGTACGTCTCGGTCGTATGGAATAATCTTACACAGACAGATTCTAATAAATTAGAAAATATTCAAAGAAAATTTGCCAGTTTGTGCAATTACAGATTTTTTCAGTTTAATATCACACGTAAATATGAATTGATTTTATATACCTTAAATTTTAGAACACTATATATTTGACTATTAGCACCACTTGTCTACTTTTCGACGTGGTGAAATCGTGAACGATGTTGTTAAAATCAATATTTACTAGAATGTCATTTAATACACATCTTACTTATATTAATTAAAGGCGGTGAATCTGCGATTTATTACTTCACTTTTTGTATTTCTTTAACGATGTACATTTATATTAGTGTTCCCTAGGTGGATTATTTGTTTTTATTTATATTTCTTCATTTTTTGCTCTGTGTTAATATTGTTTCTATTTTGGGTTTGCCTGTACTTGGCAGTTATATTTAATACTGTACATGTATAAGTTAATTAATCTGTTTGTATAATATTTTTAATTTGTATTTCATTATTATTGTATTATCTATCAGTCTTTGCCTGTTACTGTCTTCTTGCTGTAGGAAAATACTTAAATAAATTAATTGAATTGATATTTAAAACAAAAAAAAATTAACCATTTGAAGCCAAAGCTCGTCTAAATTATATTTAAGAATTCAGTCCGTACCGCGAAGAAAACACAGCACTTCACCATTACGAAGATCAACTGGTTAACGCTGTTTAAGGAAATGTTCGCTGTTTACAGTCAGAATTATACAAAACATACAAATTAGGAATGAACAGTTACTAATTACAGAACATGAAACATATATTTACCACTGGGCTTTAAAACAGTCCGACGGCTGACATAATGGTACGACGTAATGATTCTGAGGTTACAAATGACATCATAAAATTTACCTTTCTTTCGAATTCAAAAATAATTTAATAAACCTAACATATTTTTTTTACAAAGCCTTTGCTTACGTATTTCGATTCTTGAACCGGTATTAATTTTCTAATTACTGAAAATCAAATGCGAGATTTAACTAATTTCTTAACCGCCCCCAGAATTTTACGTTCTGTCGCAGGAGCAAAACCGTGTCCTTGCGGATCCACGAGACTCAGACAGGTTGACATGACATACTAAAATCTAAGAATGCCGACTGGATTCATCTGGTTCATAAGAAAGAGGCAGGTTTTTATAAACACGGCAACAAATAATCCTGCTCCATAAAAGGCGAGGAATTTCTTAATTAGCTGACCGACTATTAGCGTCACAAGATCAATTACTTTAACACATCACAAATCTTAAATCAACAGCCACTGATTCTCGATTCCTTGAATACGTAACAGCGCTGTTTAACCTGCGCACTTAAGCTACAATAAAGAATTAAATTAAAAAAAAATCATGAATTGTTAGTGGCTGAAGGTTTGGAAGGAGACAACGGTGATCTATTAAAAGTGGATTAGTCAGGCCGACTGACGGAAAATCAGTAATTAATCTGGTGTCATTACCTTCAGAACATCCAAACACTTGTTGGTATTGAAGCCTTGAATACCGCAGAGAACAGTTTTACAGATAGTTTCCAATTGTATATATATAAAAAAACGTGTCGTATTATTATCTTTAAAAATGTGCAATGACGTCATAGCGACACACTTCAATGCAAATGGCATATATGTGTAAGTTTAATGGCAAAGGTGTACTGTAGAACAGGTGCACATAAATTAGCTGTTTCCTCCCACACCAACACATTACACTTGGATTGAAACATGGCGGACAATATGGCAGCTAGCCGCAACAAACCGAAGACAAAGTTTTAATGACGCGACACTCGGCTTCGGAGTGTCCGATACCACAAGCTATGGATCTGGAATACGTTCTCGTGACCTGGTGAAACCGCGCACAGTTCCAAAATAACGAGTTTCTGATTTTAAAACACATTAATTCCATCGTCTGTATAGAATCTGACGCGTGGAAACTCTTTCTCTTCCATTTTTAGACTCGAAACAAAAGGCCAGTAAACGTAAATAAGTCTTTCTGTCACGGAAAAAGTATCAAACAGGCAAGAGACATCTGATGTAGCGAGTATCACAGACTGGACTGACGCTGATTGGTTTAAATCTGATCACGTGATAATTCCTCCTATCGAACAACTGACAGCCACAAGCCGTCTCGTTCAAATCCTAGAGAAATGCAGTCAAGCGGAATACGATGTTTCGACGGGGTCAAAGCCGCCAGGCACATAACAACGTTCGAACAGAAAAACAAGTTTCATACACACACAACTGAAGGCGGTAGCCATTACTCATTTGAAGCCGAAGTTCGTCTAAATAATATTTAAGAATCCAGTCCAGTTTCTTCGTGACAGTCTATTTAATTTCGAGAGTCCCTACGCCTCATTTCATTATATTATATTTTTCCTATTTTAATCCATTTTTGTTCACCCCACACATGCACAAAACCTGCAAGTTCATTAGATAAACACAGGAACACAGATGGCGATTATTTCAATTAACCAATTAAAATATTTAATCGTAATGGACCAGTTCAGGCACAAACATTGCTGTATTCATGGCGTCATGTTTCTACCACTGCTGTGACTGGTACGACGACAAAAACCAAATAAGTCACTTAAATTAACATTTTTTATTCTTTGTCCGACAAATTACGCAAAAACATCGCTTCGTCGTGGTTTTAAAAGTTTCTTTCTACGAGAAATGCGGCCTACTAGCGAGAAGCTACAGCCCGATTAAATTCTTATGTCCTCCGTTGCAGAGATTCTTATATAGGCCCATTATCGACCTTTGTCCAAAGACGTAGCCGCAATCCACGGATGGGGGATCAGCCTGTTCCAAGGCGTTTTCATGTAACTCACCCGGTAATAAGTTTCGTACAAGATGAATATCAATTCGCAATTGTTCCCTGCGTCCATCATAAGGGCGATTATCCTTTCTTATAGATCTTAGTCCAGAGAAACTGCAAGAATCTGGGGTTACGACATTATGAAGATGCGAAAGCACAATTACTAAGCTGAATGATATTTTTGTCCAGACACCCACGTATTATATTCCTTGGATGGAGACCCAACTATTCTTAATCACCCTATACTTAACATAACCTGGCCAGTTGATACAGCGTCATTAACAAACACACATACCTGCGATAAACTGGAGAATGGCGGAGTCTTTCCGTAGATACGAACACTAATGACAAACTGACCTGTCGTTTGTTCAATTAAAATTTAATTAATATCAAAAACTTTGGTTACCATGGCGACAGGAGTTACGGAAACCGTTCTCGCTTCAATGGAAAGTGCGACGTTTGTGTGTCACGGGCTTTCTGAAAAGACTTTGAAGATCGAAAATTGTGTTTCATAAATGCAAAGGGCAGCTCGTCTGGCTGGCCACCAACGTCGGTGGAGCTCAGTTACTTCTCGCGACCGTTACTAGAGTGCGTTCAGAAGCGACAGTGGCGCCTACCTGGTACAGTTTTATGATGTGCGGGTGATCCAGAAGCTTCATGATGTCCACCTCCCGGTAAACCTTCTGCAGATTGACGGCGTCCAGCTGCGTCTTGTCTATGATCTTGATGGCCACCTGCAACAGACGTAACCCATTACCTTCGCGTCACTGTGGGTACGAACACATGCGACGAAGACATAACAACATCGCATCAATCAAGATAACTGGCGCAGTAGCGACACTGCTGGTAGTGGCCGGGGAGCGAACCAACCTCCAGCAACAGATTAGGACAGTGCCTTCAAATAGACTGTTTCGCAAATAACACATCACAAACTTCCTATCCGATATATTTTTAAAGTCTCTTAAACAACAATATAACCTCAGATATTCTTAGATCGTAGTTAATTAATTAATTTTAGGATTATTGACATTTATGCAAAAAAAAAAATATACGCACGAGTGTAACATAAGTCCGTTCTCCAAGGGGAAACAAAATTTTATTCATTTTAACGTACCTCGGGGCGGGCTGGGTAATTTCATCCAGCCCGCCCCGAGGTTCCATTACGCCACGCCAATAATTCACTTGCACGTAAAACACCTTCTTGCGTTAATTATAACTTTCCCATTTCACTGAACACTTCAATAAATTCCACATTCAAGCTGATACCATCGATATTTACCTCGCATCTCGAATTCGAGCCGTCATCGACCTATCGAAAGCAATCCCGAAGGCCGTCAAAACGCGAAATCCCGAAGGCCGTCAAAACGCGTATTAGCTGACGAAATAAGGAAATTGGCACAGGACGTAATGACGTCGATCCACTGCCTGAAAGTTTTGGAGTCTTCTATAAAAATGATGTGTTTGATACGAAGTACTTAAGAAGACTGTTTTTTGAGGTTAATTGCCAGTAGCTCATAATAGATGGCGTGGAATGATAAGATGATCAACACTTTGAAAGCCAGCGGTAATTATATGACGCAAATTAAGTAACTGGGCATTTTTTATTCATGGGTTTGGTATGATCTCACTTTAAACAGGATTTATTTCCTTAAATAGCATTATGAAGTCGGTCTTTGCAATATAGAAGCGTAGTGTTTTCTTCGCGGTACGGACTGAATTCTTAAATATAATTTTTCGAGCTTTGGCTTCAAAGGTTTAATGCGTGATAAATCTGAAACTTCAAAACATCGATGCGGGCTGTCTCATGGCCAACGAGATCCAAATGAATGACGACTATTATCGATTCCTAAAAACTCAGTTTTAAAGCAATTCCCTCGACACATTACACAAAGTCGCGGGACGAAAAACGTAAAATGTCATTACAATCGATTATCCGGTCTCACATCTCGACTTTATTTCAAACAAACTTTGGCGCTGTTGGTGAATATCTTATCAAAGCGATACCAGGAAAAAAATGGCGCCCTGGTATGTTGGTTAACTAACGCTGAACATTTCTAAGAGATAAATCCTAAGAGAAATATTCACAAGAGAGAATCATCGGTAACTACATTTTATGATAGTTCATAGTCACCATATCACACGACAAAACAATATAAACTAATTAGAATCTCTGATGCAAAAGAGATACATGTTTCGATCGAAATGCGTAATCTTCAGGGTCTATATATGTGATATGAAGACGGTTTACATTGTAAAAAGTTAATGTTTTAGACACTTAATTAAGTAAGAAATCAGATTAAAGTACGACAGTTAAAAATTCTAACAAAGTCTCACCTACTATCCAATACGTACATAATCCATAATACAAAATCACAACCTAACTCTCATGAACTGAAAACAGTTTTAATAAAGTCAATATCTTCACAATGAACAGCACTGATATTTTATTAATAATATCAAATTCATTACCTTAAACTTGCAACAATGCAATTTTAATGTTCGGCTCTTAATTAAAAATTTACAAAAGACTTACTTATATCTCTGCAACAATATATAACCGTGTGAACAAAAATTCACTTTCTGAATGAAACAGCAAACAAGTGCGTCATACTTCCAACTTCACACCCACACCAGTCGATAGAAAAAACTCTCGAGTTTTGTACACACCTCACAGAGACTCGATATGTGTCGATATATATCGATAAGTTAATCAAACTCGTCCCAGACTTTGTGCGGTGACAGAAGCTGTGCCCTCAACTCTGACAAAGATTGTGCGGAGGGAAAATGGATTCTCGGCTGGGTGGATCCATGTGAAATTGTTTTCGAAATGAACTTTGCACACACACGCTTTCTTCGCTAACTGCACAACACAGCAGCTCCTCTGTTGTTGGGCGGCCATTTTGAAAACCAGTGGCATCTAGCGGAGGCGCGCAACATCAACCATCACCCGGGTAATACATTCATTTTATTTCTATCGAATGGCGTAGGTGCATAGAGGACCGGGGTTCGATCCCGGGGGTAAAGTACAGCCGGAGCGTGATCCTGACCACTCACCCCCATCTAGTGCCGAGATCAAGAATGAGTAGATTAAAAAAAGAAACAATTGTGTAGGTGGGGAAATCCTAAGCACACCGCACGTTGTGAGCCTTGCTTCATGGTTCGAAGTCACCTATCTTCCCCTCTCTACGTTCTTTGGAGCCGCTGGCTTCAAGGCCCTGTTGAACCAGCATGGCAGACAGTCTGTGTGTGTCCGCCGGGCAGAGAAGGTCGGGGAGGTTGAGATTGTGGATCTCCTACAGAACATGGACGTTCCTTTTCTAAACGGCCGAGGGCAGTGTTGGATTTATACGCGTTGGATCGTGAATTATCTATCTGTCTGGTTGCCGGTTAAGCAAAGGTTAGACGTCCTTGGCACCGCGTCTTAGGCGAGTGGTTTCCGCGGTTATCCACCCTCTCGTCGTAATTGAAACGACTTGAGGGAGGAGCCTCTGCCCGATGGACACACACACACACACAGACCCCTCAAGGAGACAGGTACTATTACATTTTATGGTACCGAGGGCAGTGTTGGATTTATACGCGTTGGATCGTGAATTATCTATCTGTCTGGTTGCCGGTTAAGCAAAGGTCAGACATCCTTGGCACCGCGTCTTAGGCGAGTGGTTTCCGAGGTTATCCACCCTCTCGTCGTAATTGAAACGACTTGAGGGAGGAGCCTCTGCCCAATGGACACACACACACAGACCCCTCAAGGAGACAGGTACTATTACATTTCTGTAAGTAATACTAGTGTGATATGTATAGATCTTTGATAGGACGCCCATCAATAATATTTAGTTTAAGTATTGGAGAGTGTTATATGAACGTGTTATAGGTATAGTGTTTAATTTAAGTGCTGTAGAATATCATACAAATATATTATAACTGTAGAAAACCGCCTTTGTCATTGTTGTGTCTGTCCTCAAGGCGAGATGTTTCCAGTTTGTAATCAAGGAACTATGTGACACGTAACTTCTTTACTGTGTTGGTTGCGTGTCTAATTATGGTTACATCTGTTCACCTGGGCGATGGACTCCGTGGCGTGCGGATGGCGTCTCTCCATGCCTTGTTAATCCCGTGGGAGAAGTCCGACAAGTACGTTGATTTACAAGACTGGAGCTACGACGGTTTTAATATGTTCTGATGACGGCCCGACAATAGCCTTGAAGAACTGTCTACAGAAACGTGTGGACTAGTCTCCGTTGTCTCGGAAGTCGACGCTACGACTTCCTGGAGTCTGTCGAATCAGTGGCAGTTCATCTGACATCGAACTCTCGCTGTTGCCAGTTACATCTGATTGTTAAGATGATTTCTGAGAGGACTTACATCGCACTGTGCCATCTCTTCATTTAAGACCAACGTGTATGGTCAACCGAAGGCAGACCGGAAGTCACCTGCGATCCAATACACCATTTTTTTAATATATATATATATATATATATATTTCTTTATATATATTTTAGTAATTTTTTTTTTGGGAGAGTATTTATTTTGTATTTTTGGGGTCAACCCCAGTAATAATCCTGTGACCGTACCACCTCCCGACCTCTGGAGTTATTTTAATCTTTTCACGTCGCCAGTAGGGCGCAGTTGTCTGTATAATTTTTAAAGTGATCACCCTGTATGATTCTAGTCACTAAAAAAATAACATGCTTCAGGTCACAAGCATTAAAGCTTGAAGATTGCGCGCTGTGACCGAATCATTTACAACTAAACATCAGCTACACTTATAAATTGACAATTTATTATCTGTAGTCCAGATTTAATTTCTTATTCACTCAAAATTGGTGGGAGACAGAATAACGATACAACAACGCCGCGTGAGAAATATCTTCGTACTATAGGCCAATGCCCTCATCTCAGAAACAGAGGTGTTGCGCATGCGTAAATGACTTGCCTATCGGGCTGCCTACGTCACAGGGACAATCTCGCGTACAGTCCGCCTAAACTGCTTTTCCTAGCATACTACAGGACGTTACAAAATCCGCGAAACACGAAATTTTTTCGGTAAAGATTTTATTTCAACGCAGGCTGTGATCAGATAATTTTATTTCGAGCGTATTAATTTATAATTTCATTCTCTTTAGCCATGTTGCCTTACTCCGCCTACTTATGAAGACGTTGTTGCCACATTTATCATGAACGGATCTTGACGGTGTTGCCACAAAATATCAGATTTTATGTAATTCGAAAGTCCGTCTACCCAAACCCTCTCTCTGACAATTCATATTATTTAAGATCTGTATTTAAGAAATGGAAAATGTTAACAGAAGAATCTACTTATACTTCTTATGGCCAAAAACAACAGATCAAATGAGGCGGGTTAAACATCAAACTCTGAAACGTTTTACTACACCAGTGTTTCTCAAACCGTGATCCGCGAAACTCTGTATTTTAATGGAATAATCTCAACCCATACCGAATACTGGCTAATTGATAATTAATTCATTTAAAAATTTCAAATATACGACTTGGATCAAAATGGCGTTGACCGTTTATCAATATTAGTGACAGAAAACTCAAGAAACATTTAAATGTGTAGCGTTCTTATTTATTAAAAATCGTTTTACAGTCATTTTTATTATATTTATTGCTAGTAGAATTAAAACCATCATTTAATCTGACTGAATCGATTACTTGCAAAACCACGAAAGTCCACAAAATTTATTTTAAAAACAAATAAAATTAATTAACATCCTTTGCATCCAGAGATAAAAGTTAAAGTAATTCTTGATTGGTGATTGGTTGTCTTTCTTCAGTACTGGGTTCGACTTGTTTAATTTGCTGTTAATTTAAAGGGTTTATTCATGGTCAGAAGCTCAAAACCAAAATGTAAACATAAGTCCAGGACTCATGTCGTTTTGCGGGAAACAGACTAAAGACAAATCTGACGACGCACACCGAGATCTTGGTTCGATGCCCTTGCCATTACGAAGGGGGAACAAAGGCTCAATTATCCCGCAAAGTGGACCAATTTGGTTCTTACGTACAAAGTTGAAATTGTGGGCGCACTTATGTCATTTTATGCATATCAGTTCATGGCTCGAGAAGTGACGAATCGATTTATACCAAACTTCGCATTCGTAATCCTTGAGGCAAGGAGGAGAAAATAAAATTTCGGAAAATGTCCCGAGTTCGATTCCCGGTGAGGGCAATTCCTGTAACTCGGAAAATAACAACGACTCAAAGACCAAATTTGTTTCTTTCGGCGAGGAGGTTACAGGGATTAAGGTCAGAAACCCAAAAACTGTTCTGGGTTCGATTCTCGGTAAATATGTTGGGTTTACAAATAATGTTTCTTTTTACCACGATATTCGACGAAACAGAGAGAATGATTAAGCACATTAAAAGCTTTAGGATAATAAATGTTGATAAGAAATACAAGAATTCGTCGAAATTCCCTCTGGTAACACTTTCAGCGATTCAGATAATGTACAATAAAACCATTTGATTTAACAACATAAATATTTATTAAAATTAAATTATTTGGTTATTCCGTCAAATCACAATGTATTTAAAATAAGATAATTAAAATAATTAAAATA